GACTGCTGTATGAACAGCTGGCCGTCGTCGATGAGGTCCTGCACGGGCTGACCCCATGTGATGATCCCCGTCGAGTAGTAGCGCTCGATAGCCTCACTGCTCGTACCGAACGCGGGCTTCACGTCGTTGTCGAGCGCGTGCAAGAAGTCGGTCCTCGAGATGAGCAACTTCTCGAACGCCTCGGGATCAAGTTGCACATTCTTATCGGCCTTCACGAGCCGGTTCATGGCCGTCGACTGGGCCGCCCGCACGAGACCCTCGATCTCGGCGCCCGAAAAGTTCTTCGTGAGCGACGCCAACTCGAGCACATCCACGTCGCGATCCATTTTGTTGTACTTTCGCATATTAGCCGTATGTATGTTCAGGATCTGCACCCTTCCCTGTTCGTTGGGTAGGCTGATCTCCATCTGCACCTCCATCCTTCCGGGTCGCAGCAGCGCCTCGTCGATCATATCGCGCCGGTTAGTCATACCGATCACCAGAATGTTGTTCAGCGACTCGACGCCGTCGATCTTCGCCAACAGCTGATTGACAACCGTGTCGTGAACTCCTGTATTACCGGCCTTTCAATCGAGCGAACAGTTAATACCAAAAAATGCACAGAAATTCCGAGTCAAGGCATACATACCACAGAACCTCTGGCTTTACAGATGGCGTCGATCTCATCGAATATAATGATATGTAAACCGCTGTTAATACCCATTCGCTTTGGCGACGGATGTGGTAGCGGTGGTAATGGCACGGGTGGGCCCATAAACTTTGGCGGTTCAGCATAAGTGGGATAATTACCAGTGTTATCGTAAGCCAATTGTTGGTCGGGTACGGCTGCCGTGTCTCCCTTAATGACACCCATGTCTCCAAAATTATATTCAGTCACTTTGGGGTAGGGGTCGGGCTGTAGGATCTCTTTGACAACTGTCGGCGCTTTCAAGGGTATAGTTCCCTCGATCTTGAACTGAGGAGTTCTGAGATACTTATTTTGGCGGAACGTTAGGTGAAATTTATTTGGCTGTACTTTGACGATAGCCGGAAGGAAGGGGTGCCCAAACGATATGGTCTTAAACTTTTTCTTTCCGGCGTAAACGCTGGATATGATGAGCGATGTGACGGTCGGCACAAACACTATTAGCAGACATAGTCTGGCGATTGTCGACGGCTTCATGATTACTGTCAGTTAGTATTGAATGAGTATTTGTTTGTTCAATAAATCATAACTAATGGCAAATACAAAACGAGACAAAAAAGTTTTGGTGAGAAAACGATTGAGTGAGAGAAGAGAGCGCACAGCAAAACTGTCTTCACTTGAATTGGTGTTCACTTTAATGAGAGGAACGAGTCGTACAGACATACCATTAATTGGTTTACAATTAGCGCCGTTGAGTTTCGCTCTTCCCTACGGTTTCCTTTGACCCCAATCTGTATAACTGTTCGCCAAATACTGCATAAGAGTATCTCATTTGTGTATCTCTTACCGGTTCCTGAAATGGGGACATCGGGTCCTCAGACTCCCCAATACAATACAGGCATCACTACTGCTATCGCACTGGCAGTCAAGATCAAGGCTGAAACAAGTGCACAAACATTATAAATAGTGAATAATTGGAGTGCCATAAGTTGGTCACTACTTCACCATAACAAGTGTTTGTGATATGCGTGACTTTCCATTCTCTCTCTCTCTCTCTCTCTCTCTCTCTCCTCATCCTTTTGAATGGGTTTAACGACACTTTTATGAACCATAAGTTTTAGTGTTAAATGGAGTGCCCATTGAATCACAACATCTTATAAGTCCTCCTATACTCGACGCTAAACTAAATAAAAGTTTTTATGGTTATATAATTTTCATAAAATTTATGCAAACATCTTATAATTTAAATAATTAAGTCATTTAAACATAATTTTAATTTCAAATGCTAAACACTTTTACAAATGTATATAATTAAAATAATTTAAACCCGTCAAATAAATTAAATAAGTTTTAATTACACTTCCAAATGAAATATTTATTCCTATAACTCTAAAAACTAGGTTTTTGTAGCTATAAGTAATTTATTAATTAAAAATATAACATAATTCAATAATTTTAGATTTAACTTAAAATTCATGTATTCATTACTACACTCACCTTAACGTAGTCTACATTTTCAAGAATATTCTGTAAGTTGGATGTTAGTCACAAACTGCTGCCCACTCTCTACCTCTACAGTGCAAACAAATGTCACATTATTTATTGATTATTTGTAATGATATCTGTGAATGGGCCTTATAAATTGCAATAGGGTGATTTTCGTTGAATCTAATGCCGTAATCGCATAATAATTGATTGTATTTACGATTCACACCATCACTGAGATTATGACCAAATCTAGCGATGAATCAGATGTGCACTTCAGACACGAAGAACCCAATGTCTACACGAATGGCATACATCTCCGGCCGGACGTTAAGATCAAACACAAGACTTGTTCTCCGCGTTTGAATGCGAGTCCGAAACCGATCTCTTCGATGGCCATTAAGACACCCGAAGATGTGATGGAATTTATGGCAGAGTTGGAGAGTAGACTCGGAAGAGTGGAATCGGTGATCAAATGTGGTTTAGACACACTGTCCACCACTGGATCCACTAATAGATCTCAAGAAAGTGATGACCAAAGCAATGAATTGGTTGATGTACTGTCGGTGAAGATGCCACCACTGGATGTGATTGTATCACTCAATCAATGGCTCGCCATCGCATGTCTTGTGGCTCTTATAGCCTTTGTTTTAAAATTTTATTTTTAAAATGAATTTAGTTTTGTGTTTGAAATCATATTTAATCTAAAAGTTTACATGTGTTTAAAACTAACATTTATTGTACTGTATGTAGAGTTTTATGAATTTTATTATATTAATAGTGTTTTAAATATTTTTAATGTACAGTAAGTTCTCAAAATTAGTGAATATGTGTTTGTGAATGGAAAAATGAAATAAATAATAAAAGTTTTATATTTTATTCATAGCCATGTATTATTAATAAGTATTTTAAAAGTTTTAGACTTTACACTGGAAACGATGAAATGACAGCAAATTATGATACAATATCTAATACACTATTGAATTTATGATGAAATATTTGAAGTTTAATAGCTATGCAAGGTGCAAATTCTTCAATGCTATTATTCAGACCTAATACAGTACAGTAACCTATTAAACAAATTCTAACGCAATGCCAATAAAAAGTTACTTCATATGATATACAGTAAGTGAATGAATGAGTGAATATACGGGAATATTGTAGACAGAAATGCGAGATAAGGCCTATAAATGATACGATCATTGAGTGAATAATGGGCTGAAGTGACGGTGTGTTTGAATTTGGTGTTCAAGATGCAGCTCAGGCTGTGTGGCCGCCAATGAAGTGCACGTCCAGTGAAGCAATCGATTGAATACACGTCACGATTGGAGTCTGTATTCAATGACTCACTCCAACCGTTATGTTCACTGTTTTGATCGCAACATCATTGCTGTGACTCTTGTTTACATGAATGCAAACACAACTCATTTAAAAACACAATTAAACGCTATTTCCAGACAATTAGTGATCATTTCGTCACTCAATTGCTCACCAAATCCACAGACAATCGCCAGATTGTGGCACAGATTGCATGGATAGTCGGGTGTGATTGTGGTGGACATCGAGGAATCGACTCATCGCTTCGGAAGTGAATTATAATTGATCGTTAAAATGGTATTCATTTTTGGACACAATTTGTGATTTTTAATTACAAAATACAATTAAAATAACTAACCCTGATGCATTTTTGTGGGCGCACTAGGAGTGTAATCGCGGTAAAGTAGTGTCGTGTCCATCGGATCAGATGTCGTATACGAACCGAGTTGTGGTCAATAAGGCTGACTATCCTCTCTATGACAAGAATCGGTACTTTAGATGCAATTGAATCACTCGATTATCACCTATTAATTGATTATTTAATGGCAATCAATAGCAATGTGGAGATAACCACTTCACGGAACCAGAAGTATGTCTTCACTCTGGAGGCGATCGATGCGATGGCGAGGGGGACGATGGGCTTCAATATGCCTATGGTTTGCAGTGATTTGATTGTCCGCTCAAGTGATTGGTATCTAACTGTCCATTGAATGTCTGATTGTAGCGAAAATGGGCGGAACTGTCGATCAATGAGGTGATAGACGTGCGGCTCTACACATTCAATCCCAACACCCAATTCGTGTCCAAAATCACACTATCCGTGGATTATATGCAAAAAACGGCCCCTAATTCAGAGTCTTATGACACGGATGTTATGGCCCGAGAGTTCTCAATGCAATTCCCGCGACAGGCCTTCACTGTCGGACAAACTGTATGTCCTGTTCAGTCACTAACTCTTTTATACTATAATATGTTTACCAGTATTTAAAATTTTATTTCTACTATTATCCCAATACGGACATCCAGTATGTGTTCAAATTTATTGACAAAAAACTGCTTAAACTGGTTGTCAAAGACATGGAAGTGTTAACACTCGATGGCATGAAAGGCAAGGCACCGAAAGAACCGCAAAAAGTATGTATCGTTTTGAATATGTGTTTCACTATTGATATACCGGTAATAATACAGTACTTTAATTGACTGCAGACCAGAATCGGACAATTACTGCCCGACTCTCAGGTGGTGTTTGAGAAGTCGGAGGAGTCGTCGATCATACTGACGGGTCAGGCGAAGGGCAAAGT